GCGTGCAGTACCTCAATATTGTTGACCCGATCAACGTGCATGATAGTCTAAGCCACGGCCTACCTGACTGCAGCATCGGCAGCAACAGAACTTCGCTATCCAAAATTCGCCCGTTAAAGGGTTAAACAGAGTTAAATTAAACAGAGTTTCTAAAAGAATTTTTAAAAAGTGAATTTCAATAGGCTTTTTTTCAAAAACGTCGATTTAAATGATTTTTGCATTAAAAAAATAATGAATAAAGATAAATGGCACATTTCTTTAAGAATTGCCGCAATGGGTTACTCAAGAATAATCACAGAAAATAGGAAAAAATTACTTCTTCAACCGAGATGACTATTTACATGTATAAACGATGATCAATATCATTTTTGAGACATAGCATCACCAAACGACGATAAAATTTGATAAGAGAAGACATCCGATGGTGCCGAAGAAGCAATGGGAATGTTCATCATATGCTGAATATTTGTTGCATCGGTAAGTGCCGTTCTCTTGGAAAAGAGAAAAAGCCGTAGAGGATAGATAATAACATCAGACACTTACTTTTGCAGAATAAGGTGCTGCTACTAACGGTTCATTATCTTCGGACATGGCTAATGTATAGGTTGCAGCATGAGATCGCTAAAATACCTTCGTATTTAGAAGTCTATTAGAGTAGTGAATACTCACTTTGACAGCTCTCGTTTTTCCTATTGAGAATGTACTTGTTCTTGACTGAGTTGACGACAGCGACTAAGCGACATATGTATGAATAAAGTACATATAACAAAGCAAAAATGTTTCCTACTTTTTGTTTATCCAACTTTGATGGCTGCTTTTTTCCAGTTTTCTTAACACCCACTTCTGCTCGCGCTGCTTTTCTAACACGCTAGAGATTGGGTTCTGGTTGTTTTTGTTGTTGGTTCACTCTCCATGATCGTTTCGCAGCCATAATGTATAAACAATCAGCACCAGTTGAGGATTTTCTAAACCATTCGCAACTACACTTAGCTACCAATCCACCCTTGGCATTATGAAGACTGATATTGTGTACGGTCCCATTTTCATGTTGTACTTGAAATATGCCTGCAAAGACAAACCTACTAATTATAAGATTAGTTTAAAGTGTTTATGTATCGGTTCCTCGTGTCCAACGGGCGTCTTCATCTGAGAATAAAACTTTTGATAATGCCATAGCCGATAACGGTTTTGGACGAGGAGCCCGAGTCATGTCTTTATCTGTCTTATTCTCAGTCTCTTTAATACGTTCCAGTATTTGTTGAGGATCATTCGAATCAAGCAGTTTAAGCGTCAACGGATTTATTTTAAATAGTTCTTTATAACATGGTTTTAATTTAAAATTACCTTGTAAATAAAACTTTCATTGACACAAATAAAAATAAAGTTACAGCTGTAACTAACTCACCAACTCCACAGTAATCACAATGTGACTCATTTATAAAGTACCCTTAAAGATGATTGAACGACAAAACAATCCGATCGAGAGACACGGACTTTCATTGCAAAACATCTTTGTATAAATAATTGAGTCCTTCCACAACATTTGACGTGGTAGAACGTTTAAAATAATCGTTCAATTTCATTGAATTAACAGTCCACATACCTATAAATGAAAAACAATCACGCGTGGACTAATTGTGAACACGCCAACATCATCAACCATCTCAATAATCACAGTTATTACTAATAGCTCGAATGAACAGAGGCGAAATTTTCGCTAACAGAAGACTGATTTCACGTTTGATTATGTTTCTCAGTTGTTTTTTTCGTTGACCAAGTCAACTTGGACAGTGGAGCTTCTGGGATGAACCCAGTGGCGCTTTTGAATAATTTCTAATTAATTTACAGTAATTTCTAACCGAAAAAATGTTCAAAACTTAATTTACAATAATTTCGGAGCTTGAATTAATTAAAATTCATATAAAACAAATCAGTTTACATTGATTCCATAATCAAAATTAATTTAAATTGATTTCAGTTGTTAAATTGTTTTCAATTAGCTTATAGAAAATAAATTGCAACTAGTTTAAAATGAGCGTTCAAATTAATCTATTTCGAATGAATTTAAAGTAATTTTCCACCTGATTTCACTTTAGATTGATTTCTTCCATTAAATTACTTCAAACTATTGAAAATTAATTTTGATTTTTCAGATTGGTGTGAATCAGTTTCGACTTAAATTCTTTTAAATACTTTTTTTTTCAATAAATCTGAACTGATTTTGACAGGCAAAATCAGTCTGAATTTATTTCAGAAACCAAATTAGGTTATATTTATTCGAAATAAATTAGTTTAGACGAATATCGACATCTTAGATATTAATGTGAGTAAATTTTCAACAACAAAGTTAACGTAAACATATTCAAAGAGAATTATTTTACATCACGTTGGGGAAGTAAATCAATTTGTATCAATTTAAAGTAGAAAATTATTCTAAACTCTTTCTAAGGAGTAGACGATAAATTTGTCTAAAGTATTTCAACTACTAAAGGTCACTTATACTCAAATCCAATTTAGATTTTAATAAAAAAATTCCGTTATTAGCTGAATGTGTATACTCGATCGACATAGGAGTTTCGTCTCCTGATGCGGAAAAATCGCACTGGAATAACTGAACCGGAATCAAAATCAATGGTAAACGTTTACTATTGATTTTGATTCAGGTTCAGTTATTCTTTGCTGTGAAATCGAACGGACGTTGCTTATTATTTATATACGATTATAATCCTCTTGTAATGTCGAACCTTTAAATGATTGAAACCGTTATATTAGTTTCTGTACTGGGTTTACATCAATTTGAGAGCAAAAATCCGTTCAAATTAATTGCAGGTTGGAAAGTAGTTTAGACAAATCCAACATTAATTGATTTAAATGAAATACACCTTGTAAATTGATCTGAATTAATTTGATAATAGTAATTACTTTAAATTTATTTTGT